ACGGAATATCAATTATACTCATCAATCCCATTTTTGATGAGCTTTCATTTGGTATATAATTTGTTTTGATATCATTTGTCGTTTGAGCTGTACCCCCCGTGCAAAACATTTTTTCCAGCCCTGTATAATGCTATCTTAAATTATATTGTTGATACGAAACATTTTGTTCAGTCTTGATGCTGTTACCTCTTATCTTCCACCCTCTATGCAAAGTTCATACACACAGCAATTTTTTATTTTTATCTTCTTTCTGCTCTATTAATTGTTCCCTGTCACAATGATATTATTGCTATAGATCATTCCTTTAGTACTTGTACACGTCTATCTCATTCACTTTATTCTCAACTTGTTATATTCTTTTCTTTTGCTTCACATTTTATTGTACTGTATAAGAGTCTGCGGCATATATGATTACGCTTCGCCACTTTACTAATGTAGAAAATAAATGGTTTAAAAGAAAATATATATATATTTGTCTTTCTGATGTTCTGATGCAAATCACATAAAGTAAAACGCTGCTTACTTATTTAGTAGAACAAGCATATTAGATTTTCAATGAAAGCAAAGAAACGTTTCTTAAGTTTTCTTTTATCTTCGTGAAAATGATTTCAAGTCTTCAAAAATCCAAACTTTTTTTGGAAGAGTGTTCAAAGAAAAATCATCATTTATCCGTCATTTCTTTCTCAAATTTATATTATTTGTATGCAATAAATTTTGTTTGTTTTTAAGTAAAACTACTTGTAAAATAAATTTATAGTTATGTAGAATATACTTGATGAAAAGAGCAAAACATTTATTTATTAGGTTTTTGAGTAGCTCTAAACATTGAAATATAATTATTTTGTAGTCACGACGTTATTGTATGTTTTTCGATTATTGACATATTGTAGACGGGGTCGTCATTCTATATATTCTCGCTAGACTTTTACCTTCGGTTTCACCATTACTTAGTCCGATGTGTGATGTGCAAGTGTACACATTCTTCAATACAATATAATTGTGGGGATAAATAATATCATTATTTTCTTTAAAAAATACGTTCGTCTATTCCGACGTTTAATTCAAAAATATTTTTTGTTTTCTTTCTACGTCTTTCGAGAGAACAGAAAGAATGTCTGTGAACCATGCAAAACTAGTTCTCTACTCTTTTTCTTCAATCATATAGATTCTTTTCTGCTTAGTAATAAAAAATAAAGAAAATAGGTTTCTTTGATCGAAATTAAACGTCGCTATTTTCAGCTAGACTACATTTAAAGTCTCGTCACCATCCACGCATCCAATAGTTCATGTGATGCATATGAAAAACAAAAAAGTATTTATTGAGGTAAAAATAATACTTTTATGCATATTACATTATAAATGAAAATAACAGATTTTTCTGTTCTAGATATAAACTTCACTATACATGATGCAGGACACTAATGACATTGATGTAGACTACTATTCAAGGGTAATTCCTTATTGGGATGACACTCGAGACATCGGCGAATATTCTGATCATTTGACTGTCTGGTTAGATAAATACATCGGTCGTCCAGAAGAAAGTACCAAACTAAAGGAATTATTTCAAAGAATAATTCAGCCGTTGACCAATTTGAATCCAGACGATTATGAACTTAATGAACCCTGCTGTCAACTGGAAGATCCTGAAATATTGAGTAAGCTGAAAGATACGGTTTATTGTCTGAAACCATTTTTTGAAATTCGGGATTGTCTTGAATTTATTCAACAAAATGATAAAAAGAAGATATTTTTTATATCGTCGGGCACAATGGGTGAGGAGATCGTACCACAAATTGCCGAATGGTCACAAATACATGGAATTTATATATTTTGCGGTTGCATGCAACACCACATAGATAGCTGGGCGCTAGACTATTACGAGCGTATAACGTCAATGTTAGAACATCAAGATGATTTACTCCTGCGATTAACAAGAGATATTGCTAAGTATTTGGGGGAAAAGGGCGATCATTACTTGGCACTAACTGAAAATGTTAAAGCGAGGCATTGTTACGCCTGGGCAATTAAATTATTGTTACGAACACGCGACTTGGGTAGTAAATGTTATCGAGATATGCACGATGAGCTAATGAGAAAATTCAGCAAAGCGCACGAGGGCTATGAATCATCAAGGAAACAAAGTGATTAAACAACTTAGATACATGTATTATTCTTCTTTCATGTACTTTTCTTATCATATTAGTCTTAAAAACAATAGATGTAGAAATCATAGGATTGACGGATGAAACAGAGAAAATGATCGGCGTTACAGAGATTATAATAGTTTCTACATACAACTTGCCCCATCACCAGACCATACAATTAAAAGTCTGTATGGCTTTGTGATAGATTAGAAACTCCTCCTTATCTTCAACTCTCAGAATCGTACGAACGCCGAATGCGTATAAGATCTAGAAGGACAGACTCAATATATTTTTCCATGTAATCTCCAACTTGGATCAAAAGTATGAGACCTGTATGCGCACGAAGACAGTTCTTCGTGGGTGCAAATTTTATTTTTTTGATAAAATTTTTGATTATTTTTGTATTGATAGAATGGTAACAGCAGCTGCTTTAAGATTCATATTTATTTAATAAAACGAAAATTAACAGATTAAAATTTTTTGTAAAAATTAAGTCGACGTTTCGCAAACTGTCATAATGTTTTAAATCACAATAACTATGTTGGTAAAACAATTCGACAATTAGTAAGACGTTTAGTTGAACATGATGCTTCTAAAACTATCGGAGTTTTCGATCAGCTATCAAATGATGCATCTGTTGACAATACTCTTGAGACTAGTTTCATTCCTAAGTTATCTTCATCACTTGGTTATTCATTAGTACACGTGATATCATACGTGTACTAACAGAGATACTAAAAAAACATGAAAAAAATGACAAGTCTAAAGAGATAAAATACACCGTCAGCTTGAGCTCAAGTAACGGCTCCGTCTCAACTGAGATGCTTTTCTTAATTAGATATCTCAATTAGAAAATAGAAAAATATAACTAAAACAACGTTTCCCAACCGATATACATTCAATAAAGTTTGTGTTTATAAACTCTATACAATTTCTTTAAGAATTGCGGTAAAATTAATTAATCATCACGTAGTCACCCAAACAATTAGGTCGTTTTTGCTTGAGCACTCAGCTATACTACCGTATATTAAATTAACCATGCAAAGTCTTATAAACAAACAAGCTTAAATAATACAAATGTATCTGTCTTATAATAATCATCATTATTAGTACATATATCCGAATCATACAGTTGTTGAAATACTTCTAAGTAGTGATATACAAAATGAGGAGAAAGTCCCTGGTATCCCTACAAATCTATCTCATCGTCAAGTAATGCATGTTTTACTGAAGAATATAAAATAAGATTTTACTCGCGAGCAGGATATCACAAAAAAGAACAAAAGACCTGTGGCATCCGTAGATAACCTGTGAAAATGGTATCCTCTCGTTTCGTCCCGTATTTGTTAATTAGCTCTCGTTTCATCCCGTCTCATTTCGTCCCACACTTGTTTCGTCCTCTCTTGTTTCGTCCCACACTCGTTTCGTCCCGTTTACATTTTCTATCATTCTACTCATTTTATAACTATTCATTTTTTTCTATCAACTGTATACTAATCAATATTAATATAATTTGATAATTAATACATGGCTTTATAAGTTACATTTATTATTTTATTTACGAGTTATAATGAAACAGGTAATTTTACAGTATTAACACATTTGCCGCATTTGATTGCAAGCTCAGTTCCAGACAAAGTACCATTTTCATATCTTTTAAAATATTCCTTCAATTTATTATCACAATTATTGTATA